TATATTTGCAGATCCCTTTCTGTGCCTCACAGTTGCATATAATTGAAATAATAGATATGCCAGACACCACAATGACTCTTACTAAACTTCATAGTGACATCAGTTTATTGGAATTACACACAGTCACTTGGTCTCTCTTTTTTTTTTTAACATGGCCCATAGTGAAGCATAGGGAAAGTGGGTTATCTAGACACAGCTGTCTTAAATACACAAAACCTCCGCTCATTCAGACCTCTCTAAATGAGGATAGATGTAGGAGAGAAACAAATTCTGGACAGGTTTGTACTGAGGAATCTTATTTTCTCTTTACTTTGTTGTTTCTTCTATGAATTTGCATTTCAGTCTCCTGTTTCTGATTTGCTCTGTAGGCGTCCTGCTTCCGAAAGCACAGCTCTGATACAAGGAAGTAGGCTGCCCGGTGTCCAGGACTTCAAGTGGAGAGTGGACGTAGCTATATCCACGAGGTATAAAAAAGACTCCTGCATGCCCCTAAAAATTATTTTGCCCAAAATTAAAATGACTTTTTGTGCTGCTTAAAAACGTTGACAGTGTTAAAATGTATCTTGCTGTTAGGGATTGGCATGTAGCATTAAATGGTAAGATAACGGAGGGGATTTTTTGAACAGCGTAAAGTCAGTTTATATACAGGTTACTGTTGTTAACATGGACTTGCCAACAGGCTGCTGCCTTCATCTTCTACTAATGGTACTTTTTAGGCTCCTTATTTGTTTTGATCTGTAAAACCTCTATGCTAGAAACATTTCACTCAAAGTTTGAGTCTCTCTCTTAATATTTTGAAACTTAATGGAGCTGATACAACTCCACAGCTCCTCAGAGAGGATGGAATAAATTAGGTGGACTGAGCCTCACGCAGCCAGCCAAGCTCTGTTTCACTGGAGCAGGGGAGGGAAATCATCTATTCAACTTCTCAAGCAGACTATCATTTGTATGTCACACATGTTAAATAAAATGACTTTGCATCACCAGTACAGTCTACTGTAGATTCTACAAAGAGAGCCTTCAGAACAGCACCTTCATGCTGCCATAGTTATGCAGTTGGTCATTGATCTACCTCCTAGTTTCTTTCACAAAACAGGAGTAAAAGGATTTGCAGGCACTGACAGGATGATCACAGTGAATAGCTTCTTGCCATCTGCCACAGCAGAGGCAGCTGGGGGATGGATCTTTGGCTAGAGCTAGAAGGAAACAGAAACCTGTTGTCTGTGTTGTTCCTGGTCTTTGTCTAGTTCTAACAAAGGCAGACCAGGGTGAAGAAAAAAAATCTGATCCAGTATTTGTCAGTAGCATAAATTGTGAGCATGAGTGACTTCATATTGCATTCATGAATACCTGCATCTGAGGAAGAGTGCAGTTTCTTTGCTGCCATGGTTGAGAGGCCTGTGAGTAATCAGGGATAGTCTTACAGTCTTCCTGAAATCAAGAAAAAAGGCTTCTAAGTGAAAATTGTAATGGTCACAAGCTACTGGTTCAGGTGACTCAGATGAGCAGTGCCATAAGCACCACACAGGTATCGCTATGCGGAAAAAATCTGTATCTATAAGAGAGCAAAATGTACAGGTAAACATCCTCAGGCACAGTGCTTGCAAGCTGCAGGCAAATCCTATGATTTGTTTTCCAAACAACACAGGAGCAATACATTATCGTTTTCTATTTTCCTTTGTATTATTTTTATTTCCAGCCAACCTGCCCCACGGGATTTCTTGTTTATCAGCCTCTGCGAAGAGGTATGGCTTCCGGCTGTAATGCCTGTCAGTACCTGAGCAGGCTTTGGCAACATCGGTTGATGGAAGCCACACAAGAATGACTCATTTCCCCGCTTTGGGTCATGAAATAAAATAACAACCCACAAATTTGGGATGAAGACTGGAAGAGCTTCATTCCAAATGAGATGGCAGTTGAAAGTATGAGGGAATGGAAAGGATTAATGCAACATGGTAAACTGCATAAGAAAACCGTGCCTTGTTACTAACAGTACTTGGTCAGCTCTTATCCCTATCATGGTTCCACTAAACTGATTACTGTATAAAATGAAAATGTTCCTAAACTTGCAGTAAATAAAATATTTAAAAAAATGTTTAGTCTCAATACTGAGGTAAATTGGACAGGATTCCTGTGTTCATGAGTTTCCATCCAGCCAGGTACAGGACTCTATGATTGAAATTACTCATGTTCTATGTAAAGCCTATATGAACATCTTAAATTGTTTATGTGCAATGCTGTACTCATCACACTGCTGATGTCTATCGTTGTAACACTAATAATGTAAATAATTTCAGTTCACTGGCCCGTGCACTTCAACCATCCATTTTAATGATGATGAAGCTTTCAGATGGGACAGCTCATCGCTTTGAAGTAAGTCTGATTGCCACAATAAATAAGAAAGAAACCACTTGAAGTTCTTTTTAGAAAGTTGAATTACTATGTAAAAATATTAAAGCTTTTGTAAACAATGCATTATCATTGGTTGGCTTGCTTTGGAATCCTTCAAGTTCAGTGTAGCCACGTACAATATATAATGAAACGCCAACCAAAATCATTTCGTACCTTGTTCCTACACACATTTTGCTGAAACCTCAATTGTTAGAAGAATATTAATTACTGAAAAGCACTGTTGCATAATATGTGGCTTGATTAAAAAGCATGGTTTTGTTATCAACTGTAACCTTCAGACCTGATGGTGGCTCTTGAGGGCAGAAAAATTACAGTTTATGTAATGTATGATACACTTCTAAACCTCCTACATTTGGTAGAGAATGGTAACGTTCTGTTCCGTGGCAGAGGTAGTTTTATTCTTTTTCTTCAGTGCAGTTATTGCTGCTAGAAAGAAAATAAAAAAAAACCCCTCTTTGCTTTTTACCTCAGAATTAGTCAGTGGCAGTATTTATGACACTGTATGTAAAGGCTTGCCAGAAGATGGCATAAACTCTTCCATATTTTTAACCTTTGAAAAGGAATGCTATTTGTTCTATAAATAACGTGGTGGTGCATACAGGAATTCAGTGCACAGCAGGCATTGTTACATTTGAACTCTGTAAAGGTTTTGGCTTCAGTTTATGTGTTAGTAGTTGTCTGGAGGAAGCACCAAAGCACTGTGGGTTGAAAGAGGTGGACTGATTTTTATGGTTACAATGCTTCATAAGGCGGCAGCTATTGAGGGAGTCACAAATTCTGTGCTACATTGCAAAGTGTTGAGGGTGTCACTTAACAGGAGATCAAATTCACCCTCTGTGGACGGTCCAGCTCAGAGTATCCCATATGCTTTGTTTGAGGTCTTCCATGGAACTTAAACGATGCCATGGACTTAGGGTTGACCCTTTACAACAGGGTAAGTTTCACTTGTGAGAATAAAAATTATTATATATTCTTTACTGTTTAGATTTGGGGCTTTATTTCCTGGTGTATATAATGTCAAGTCTTGGTCTTAGTGGCACTGTTCCTGGTTGGTTTGGTTTTAGGGGTTGTTTTTGTTGTAAGCCTGTAGAAGACCCTTTGCTATTCTGCAGTGGAGGTGTGTTGGTGTGCCTGTCCAGTAGGTGCAGAAGTGCAGATATCTGAATGTGCTTCTCTTAGAATCAGCTCTTTGCTGCTGCTGCTTAGACCTGAATGCCAAAGATCTGGCTGTGAACATGATTCCTTTATCTAATGAATGGTCTTCCCGCAGTTAGTAGCTCTTTAGGATAGGCCTGTGTTTTGGTTCAAGGTACCATATGCAAGCAACTATAGTCCTCAGCTCTTCAGTTTCCTTTCATTCGGTCACATTCAGAATGTCCTGCTAACTACAGGGCTTATGTAAGATGGTAAGTCCAGAAGATAATTCCATTATGAACAGTTTTAAAATGTGGATGCCACAGGGAGTAGTTACATGCTTTGGTCTCTTGGGCTTGGTTTGGTTTTTTAATTGCAGTGTGACTTCTCACAATGAAGATTTTTTAAAAAGCAACGGGAATTGCAGCATTTTGAGTCTTGCTGTATATATGTCAAAAGTGAAAAGGACATGATGCCTTTTTATGTATTTCTGGTGCATATGGAAAATGCAAATCAGATGTTGGATTCGTGTCACATAATTGATATCTGTGCTACAGTAGGCAGAAGGATGACAAGGGACTCTGTCAAAAGAACTGTGTGTCTTCGGTGTAGTCAAAGAAGTAGAGTAAGTTCAGTAGTGCTCTGCAGAGCAGCCCGGGACTAGCTAGACTGCTACTGGTACTCATGCGAGCACATGCATTTGTGTGCTGCACTAATGTTAATCTGTGTCACCCAGTCTGTGCCTGTGCTCAGATGTGGTTCTCTGCCTTAACAGATAATACATTTCTATCCGTTTGGCTTCTCAGGCTTGAAATGGTAAAGGAAAGTCCATGAGTCTCCTGCACAGTTGAAAATATTTTGTATATTTAATGAAAATCTTTTGCCTTCCATGTATAGGCAGTGCCCAGTCCCCTTTGCTCTTGAGATTGCTGCCAAGTCTCTTGCTTTGAGGCTCAGTTCCTCTCTCCTGCAAGTTTGGACAAGCAGAGTATCTGTAATTGGTTACTTGAGAATTCTGTAGCTCCACGACCTTCCAGGCGTCTTCATCTTCCCTTCCAATCCATGACTCTCTTACTTCACCACATCAGCCATCAGTTTACATTCTGGAGTACTACCTTTCTCACATCAGGCAGGATAGAAAATATACTATGTAGCTGTTACTTCTGGGTTTTCCCACTCTCCTTTTTCACCCACATGATCGAACTGAATTAACTGCATTTTATTAACCTCAAATCCTTTGTCTTAAGTCTAAAAAAAAATAAAAAATTTTAGGAGAGATTGGGCTGATGCTGTGGAATGTTCCCGAGCCATAGGTATGCCGTAGTCAAAGTTCCTAAGATGTTTCATGTTTTCTAACCTGAATATTCTATTTCAGGTACCAGTTGCAAAGTTTCAAGAACTGAGATACAATGTTGCCCTTATACTGAAGGAAATGAATGATTTGGAGAAGAGGAGCATATTGAAGATCCAGGACTGAACACTTAAATTGGGAGTTTATAGAACAGATCTGAAACCCTCAGCGTGTTTTTGTGAATGACAGAGCAGGGGACCATCACCGCTTTGCCTGTCTGAACTGCAGTGTAGCATTTATGATGTCTGCTGTAAATATTTTTTTGATTCAAGTGTTAAAAGCACAAGCTCTTTTCATAAGAATTAAGGAAAACCAAAAAATATATCTATGAAAAAGTATAATGCTGTTTGCGAGCATTTTTGCATGATTCATCAAAACATTTTTTAAATAACTGTCTTAATAGATGTAAGAGTCATTTATTTCTGATTATGATTCATCACTCTAAATATTTTTGAAAGCCTGCCACCGGAAGACCCATCATTGTGTATCATAAGAAAGCTCTGCAATATCTCAAATAAAAAATAAAATTAAAAACCCACTCCTGTGCCCTAGTATGACAAATGTGAACTTGAGTTTTGCATAAGTAAAATTGCTGTCTGGCTTCTCACTAAGTGACTGAGGTATAGCCACAGGTATTTAAAGGCTGATTTTGAAGAAAATTGGAAGTCTGTGGATCAAGAAAGAAGTATCAACTGAGCTTCTGGAACTAATTCCATGGAATTGCAGAAGTGGAAAGGTGCAATCTCAGTCTTTACCTGGTTGATCAGAATGGGCTAAATAGGAGTAATTGCACAGATTTCTCACGGGGAAATGCCTGCCTCTTGATTCATGTATTCCCTATATGTTTGATGTGAAATGAATCATCTTGATTTACTGCTGGGCAGAAACTTCTGGCACTGCGATGGCAGCGAACAGCAGGAGGCCTTGTAGACCACTGCAGCTATATACTCCTTGATAGTGCAAGTCAGACCCCAGGATGAAGAGGCTGCATATAGTCTCTGGGATGAAAGTCACAGGTATGCGGGTATCTAAGCCCCCTGGTCAGGAAAAGAGTTAGGCATAGGCTGAAGTTCCCTGAACTGGTCAGGCAGTTAGACTGGATGATCCTTGTAGGTCCCTTCCAACTGAAATACTCTGTTCTATTCTAAGATACTCCTTTGCCCCATGAGCAAACCTTGGAAGAACTCCCTTAACTTGAAGCATATGTTTTAAGTCTCTTTTAAACGCCGTGGGACCACAAGTATGTCCCTAGAAGTCTTGCCAAGAAGGGATGCATTCCTCAATCATTGCCTGCATGAGTTTTCCCCCAGCAGCAAAGATACGGAGGCTGTGAGCAACGGCCCAAAGAGAGCGCAGGCCGTGGGTCCTGGAACTGTAGGATTTGTCTGGCTGTCAGAGGTAGTTTAGAAAGCACGTGCCACTACCATTGTTAAGCACTGGCTTATTCTAGCTGCTTTCAGGGTTTCTACCTCAGTAATACCACCCATACGTCTCACTTTCATTCTTTTGTGATTGTAGAACTTGGCCTTTATCATCCTCACTCCCCGCAGAAAACTGCTGAAATTAAAATTGTGGATTCCGGAGGCCTTTTACACTCCCACAGATGTTTGTGTAGGAAAGGATGACTTGGTTCTTGGATTTTAAGAATCACAACAGGCATAACAAGACCTCGTCATACTTTTCTAAAGTACAATCTAAAGACAGCTACATAGCTGTGGTCCAGAAAGCTTTTAAAACCTGTGCAGGAATGTGTCCTGTAGTTTCAAATAAACCTATCGGCCATGATTTCAAACTGTTTGAAAGCTGCGTGTCCCATTTGCTTTGAAGACTACTCATCAATAACTTCTGGGTTTGATCCGTGCTGCATCTTAGCTACTGTGTTCAGGTCACACCAAAGCATGTAAGAGGAATTGGCTCCTGTCACTTCAAGTGGACTGCAGACTGCATTAATGTGATTTCTTTCTGGTTTTACTTAGTGAAGCTTGTTCACCTTCTTTCTGGAATTACATCATCACAAGCTGTGAAACAAAACCTACATTCTTATGTTCCTTGCTATAACCTTTCCTTTTGGATTGTTTAGGTTTACGTGGTTTCAAACGGGACAGGTATCTCAACTGAGACCATAAGTGAAGTCCTCTCAGACAAACAGAACACTGTATGGGTGTAAAATTGCTCAAGACATTTGCAAAGTATTTTTTTACTGGTCAGAGTAGAAAAATCCATAAATACCTTTACCTTCTAGACAGAATACAGAATTCAGGTTTCTCCTGTCATAGCAGTTGCCCATGTTTTCCAGAAATGGAGAGGCTTCCTGACTGTCTTCCTCATGTTCTCCTCAAGGGGTGATGGACCTCTTAGTCACAAGTTTGTCTTGCCATACCTTAAGCAGTTTACTGTAACTGGAGGTTCACCAAGCACACTGAGGGGTACTTACACACAGGATTTTCATTCCTCTGTACTTAAAAGAAGAGTTAATTTGGGCTTTCCTTCTGACGGATTAGCTTTGCAGTAGAACAGCGGTTGTCACCAAAATGGCTAGTGGATGGTTCCTCTGGTTTGGTAAAATACAAGCCTTCAAATTATTGTTAGGTTTCTCAGAACTTCATGGTGAATTATGTGTTAAATATTTGTTCGACACTGAAGTATCTTCTTCACAATTAAAATACTCTGGAATTTGAATTCCACTGAATTTCTGACTGTAGCCCTTTCATTCCAATACAGAACAAAAGTAACCTTCTAAGAATCTGGGTATGTCTGAACAGAAACGATTTTTCCCAACTCAAAGTTTGGTTACACTTCAAAGACACACTGTGAATCCCCTTTTCTATATCATGCGGTGAAAGATGCAACTTGAGTGGGGAGCTTGCTTTGTTGGTCCCAAGGTCTTGTCAAGCTGATCACTAGTCAGTCACTAGTTAGGAAGGTAAGAGGTTTGAATGGGAAGGACACTGGTTTTTTTATTACACACTGTTCACAGATCCATAGGTAACAAGGAACTTTCACAGGTTCTACTGGTAGTTTGGTAGTTTTCCCTGAAAAACAAACCCCAGTGATCCAATTGCTTTCTCTACTCAATGGTGCCATGGGAATTATTTTATTTTACTGGATAATGTATTTGTCATGTCTTAATTCTAGTGATTTTCTAACCATGGCATGTGAACATAAATTTCTCCACCTTTTCTTCCATTTTCTTTATAGTATATGGAACATTATGCCTTTTCTTTCAAGATTAATGTGTCAAAACATTTAAAATAGAACTTGATCTTGATTTTTTTTCCATGTAAATCATGTGTGTACAATAGCAGAGATGCCCAGTGCATGCAGTAGTCACAGTAGGCAGAATGCAAAAGGAGAGTTAAAGATAGTTGCCAGAAGTCATTCAGGGATTCAGTGGCAAAATAACACAGAACGACTCACGTCTTCACTTCCTCTTCTCTAACTGTAAGTCAGAGCAGCTTCCTGATGTGACGGCCAGACCTGCCTTTTTTTTTATTTTATTAATTGGCTCAACTCCATGGGCCATCAGTCCAAACCTGTTCTTGCCTATGGACTATTACAGTGTGTGCAGAGCACTTGAAAATAAAAAGCCATCTGTGGCTGTATTCATGATGTGACTTTTCACATCCCTACTTCCAGCAGAGAAGCAGCTTTGTCAGCGTGACTAGTAGGTTGGAATTTCACACTTGGGTTAGTTGTGTTTGAGAGGGTAAAGAAACAGGTTTGTTGGTTGTTTTTGTGGTCTCAAAGTGCAGATTATAGCTCCAGAAGAAGGCTGAAGAATGTAGTCATGCTCTCATACTGCCTGTTATGCCAGCCATTAACTGCTGAAGAAGATGGTTATTGTACTCATTGTCATTAAAAGGAAGAAATTAAACCTCCCTTTGTAGAAAAATCATACAAGGGAGATGTGCTTTTGCAGAGTGAGTCACCTCCTAGCTTTAACTTCTGTTTAAGTGCAGGATAAATCCCTTCTTGATCTCATGAACAATGCAGGTAGGTAGAGGGTTGCACTTTTTTTTTTGCTTTTTGCTTTTTCCTTTTTTTTTTGCTTTCTAATCAAGTATACCTCATGACCCACTGCTGCTCCAAATCCATGAATATATGTATGAATGTATGAAAACTCCGTGCTTTCAGGATGTGTTATGTAAAAACATCCCAGCATATCTAGATTATGTACATTCAATTTACACAGCTGTTTTGCTAAAACAGTCTTTGCAGAGTCGGGCATGATATCAGAATCAAATATTTTATAGTTGTTTGACTTCTAGTGAACAGTAAACCAGTATCTTGGCTTTAAAATATTTTGCCATTAGTGACTGTACGGCTCATTCTGTACCTGTCACACCCCACGGAGTACTAACATTTACCAAACACCACACATACCAGGAACTAGCAGAGGCAGAGCCAGCTGGTTTCTCCCCTACGAAGTCACAGAGTTATTGCCCATAGGCCATCCATGATAAGGTCTTAACTGTTTCCTGGCTTTGGATAAAGGTCTGTGTTCTGAACCCTCCTGAGGATACAGCTCCCACCACAGGAGCAGTTTATAAGCACGGCTGCCCTTTTCTCTTGACATGTTTCAGCCACGTCCCTGCTGGTGTAAGAGAATTCCCAGAAGTGCATTTCACAGTGCTTTTTTGAGACTCGTTTCAGTCCCGAGTGATCAGACTGTCAGCTAGCCTTGCAGATGCTTTCATACGTTGTAAATAGAAACTGTGGAAGTTCCTTTCAGAGCACAAATGCTGATTACATTTTCTATGATAACCTATTTCCATTCCCAATCTTGAATTTTTGTGCTGCTAGAAACCCTCCCTTTACACCATGACTTATCTCTTAGAGCATCTGCTACGTAACTATGTAAATACTGGTGGTGTGTCCCTGATAGAGAGACTGTCGTTGCATTGCTACTGGTAACCAGTGGTTATGTCACTTTCCCTCGCTTGAATAGGCTTTGACTCATAGTGGTTTTCAGGACAATGGTTATAAAATAACACACTGAGGGGTTGCCGAGACTATAGTTTTGCAATAGAGACAACTGTCGACCTCAAGGCTACAAGAAAGCATTTTTCTTTTTTTGTTAAGGGTTTTGTTCTTTTATAGTATGAGTTTTGCTTGCCATGGAAGTTTGGAAAACAAGAAGTCTATGTTAGCACGCTTGAGTCCGGTGGGAAAACCCCATAATTCTGAGCACAGACACAGTGCTCTCTAACTGTTCTGAAGCATTGCTGAACTGAAATTTTAAGTGCTTCAGTTGTCCTCCCTTTATTTGAATTATTTGATGGCAGGCTGGGCTATACTTTGGATTATTGTCTGACTTAAGTGATGGCAGAAAGAATTACTGAAACCAGCAGTTATTCAATTAACCTTTTTCTAATAAAGGACTTGCCTGGGAAGAACAGTAAGCTGATGAACAACTGTTTTATGGTTTTTTTTAAAGATTTAAGAGCCCTATAGAGAGTGGCCAAATTTTTGGCAGGTGCAAAATGTCTTAGCATCATAAGAATCAAAGACAATTGAAGGCTCTGATGGCTGGCTTCTGCTTCCAGCTATGTATCTGACTTTCAGTATAAGCTTAAGGATTGCCTACACATGGACACATAAACATCACAAAATTAGCCCTCATTATTAATTTAAAGTGTATATTATCAGGAGTTAAGATCCAGAACTTAGATGGTTTAAAATTAGTTTTTCACTTCAAATTAAGTGAATCTGAACTTTCTCAAGTATCCTTTCTAAACAAGGTCTTAGAAAAGTCACATTCCCTCTCCTTTCTTCCATCTTTTGTCCTGTCCATTCAAACCCTATAGGCAGGGCTTGTCCCTTAATACCTGCTTAGCTAACAGTCTAAGCTGGGGAGTCCAGACACTTCTGTAAGAAAGAAATGAGAAATTAATTCCTTCATCCCCTCTCTTGAGCTTTGTGAGGCGGCCAATAGAATCAGTAATATGATATCCTCAGAAATTTCAAATTCTTGCAGTGGATTTTAAGACAGCATGAAAAGTGCCCTATATTTTTGGGGTATTTGAAAATGTATGTGTCTATATAATGGGCATTTCTAGAAACTGTAACTGTAGATCTGCGTAAAACTGCAAACAAAAAAAGCAGACAACTTATTTTAAAACAACTGCTTCTATTCCATGGTAGCACGGTCATTTTCTCCCTAGGCTACATTTAGCACAACCAGTTACACAACTAGTGAGATCCTTTCATATAACAAAAATTGGTGGGAATGTGCAGATTGAAGCGGTCAACTCGGCTGTCTTAAACAAAACAAACATACATGATAAGGCATGTGCTTTTTTTATCTAGAACCTGGCATGGACAGCTATATCTATGCAATATGCCACACTGCATGACCAAATAAACATGACATTTTTCTTCTAATGTTCTGCTTGCTTGTCCTGAAAGCATGATTACCTGACATTAAAATAGCTTCACTACTGCATAGATGGGCTTAAAGAGAGTGGTTAACTGTAGAACTACAGGCTTTAAAATTCCCGTTCTAGCAGGAAATGCCATTGTTTTTCAAAACCGCTTTGAACTGCTATTTCTCTTGTATTACCGTAGGTAACAAAACACCAAAACCAGGAATTCATTCCGTTTCTCACCGCGCTGTCACGGCAGACCAGCGGGTCAAACGCAACTGCCGGGACGGTGTAACCGGGCTGCCCGCTGGGACACGGTTCCCAGCTAGGTACCTGCAGGCACGGCTCTCCCCACGCAGCCCGCGGGGAATCACGGCCCGGGCGGGGCTCTCGGGGAGGCGGGCGAGTACCGGCCCACGTCTGCCGTGCCCGAGACCTACCGCAGCGGGCAGCACCAG